AAGTTCTCTTCTCAGCTCTATCCTCATTTTCCACTGTGTGTTTATCTGGTGATAAACAGACAATCTTGTAATACTGCAGCCAAAAAATAACTGTAAAGGATTTGCAGAAAGTTGCTGAAATGCTTTAATGACCACACACAGAGCTTTAACATCATTAATGGATTTAGGAAGAAAAAAAAAGAACAAATTTTCCAGAGGAAAAAAAAACCCTAAAATCTATTTTTAATTTTTTATTTTAGGATTCATACATATAATAACTGTTCTGGAATGATGAGTCCACAGTGCGGGGAGTTTTATGTTTTGTATTTCTTATTTTCATAGACATCTTCCTGAAAGCTTACACTGCTGCCAGATATGAGAAAGATCCTACAAGAAACAATCATAAACTGGGTTTTGGCACCATTTGCTTTTTTCTTCAAAGCAATAAAAAAGAAACTTAAGGTAAGAGAAAAATAAAAGGATGCTGTGTTCTTCAGGTACGAAGAAGGTTAAACTGAGTTGTGTATTATTTGAGTACATCATGCAATAGAAGGACTGACTTTGCTTTCAGACACAGAAGTGTTTTGTTGGGGTGTACGATGTGTGTAGTCTGGTTCAGTGATTCCCAAACTGTGGTCTGCAGAACACTGGTGGTCCAGGAGGCCACGGTAAAGGGTTCACAACTAATCCGCAGAGCCATATTAAACACTGTTTTTAATAGTGTTTTCAATTAAAAGTTTGATGATAACGATGCCTGGTGGTCCACAAGAAATTCTGAGGGTTGACAGCAATCCAAAAAAGTTTGGGAACCTCTGTTCTAGTTCCTAGTGTGCTCTCGAAAACGCATATCGATATTCACTCCTCTCTTCTTCACCAGCCAACTGAAGTCAAATCTGGGACCCATGTTTCAGAATGTATCTTGTTGACTTGCAGGATTTCTTTCTTAATCTTATTTTAAAAAAAAAAATCTATTCTTAATTTAAAAATTGAAAGATTAGAAATATTAGGTGTAATAGAAACCACATATGTAGATATGTTTTGCTTTTATTCAGGATGAGAGTAAATGAGAATGCAAAATCAGACCCAGGAAATTTTTTTAGTTCAGACACCTTTGAAACACATGTAGAAATGCTTATAAACAAGCAGAAACATATCCCTGTCAGACAACATAGCATCTGTGAGCTACAGTTCAGTAGATTTACTCAGAGATTAGCTAGAGAGGGGTTGCTTACGTTTCATGTTTAAGCTCAATGTATTCCACATGTATCCAGAGTAAGCGATTTGACCATGGCCAATATGTCCATGACCTGTCCATGAGTTTTCACACGGTGCTTCGCTTGTCCAGTTTTGTAAAACTAAAGAATATCCTGCCTTCATCTTCCTTTTGAGGAAGATTGAGGGTTGGACTAGATGACCCACAGAGGTCCCTTCCAACCCCTACCATTCTGTGATTCTGTGTGATTCTGTGATTTTGCTCCCACTCATTCCCATTATACCCCTGATTACCTTCAGGAATAGAAGGAATCTTGCCTTCACCCACTTAAGAGCTGTAGCAGGGATGGAATTACCTCAAGTCATGGGATAACACCAAATGGAATCCATACTGACTCTCTGAAGAGTTTAGTCTTCTGTTTCAATGCAGCTTTAAAATAAGAAGGGCCCAGAAATAAGATCTGGCTTGAAAATCAGATTCCTTTTGCAAGTAAAGTTGTCCAGCAAAGAATTAAGTTTTGGGGGCTTTAGCTTTTTTTAACTAGAGGATGTTCCAAAACTTTCCTTGAGCTTCAGTGTAAGCATTACCTCAGCAGTGCTTTAAAGTCCTAGGACCAGTAGAGTCTATCAGAAAATGCTAATGGGAGTGGGAGGGGAACCTCTGTGCTTAAATAATGTGTCTGCTGTACACAAAGCTTTCCATTAGCATGTCATCACTTGGAATCAGTTCTAAGCGAGTCTCTGTTAGGCAGCTAAAAATGTTGAAGACATTTTTTCTGTGACACCTGAATGGAGAACAATAATCTCATATTACGGAATTTTCTGAGATTTCAAAAATATTCTTGTTCCACAATGAAACAGAGACAAGTCTTTCCAGAAATGTTCGTGAAATGGAGCAAAATTATAAATAGTAGAAAATTTGGGATTTGACACAATTTTAAAGCTATATTTTTTTTTTCCAGTGAATAACCTGGTCACCTAGTTGTTTGGTACTATATATCTCACTACGTGTGTCTCAGAAGAAAAATCCTTGTTTGACTTTTGAATGTTTTCTGTCATGTCGACCAGAGTAATTCTATGGAGATTTTATTTTGGTGGCAGAGACAATTTTTTGTGCAACCCTTGGATTCATCCTTTTCCCTCTTAGAAATGCCTGCTTTGGTGTCAAAGACAGTTCTGATTGAATTCCCAAAACACAGAACGAATATTTTCAAGAGTAACGTGAATGCCACTCTATCTGATCTAATAACTGTCTGACCTGATAACTGTCTGCTCTTCTAGCTCCAACAGGAGATGACCACCAGTACTAGTCGAAATGAAGTCTTTTGTCTTTGGTGAGGGTGTTGGAGGTCACTTGTTGCAACCTGCCAGACCATGAGAGAGAAGTCTTGCCTGTGGTCTGCTGGTCTGAGCTACTGCCATTTGCTGGAGTTCATTTGCATTCTAACTGAGGGCTGTATTTTAAAAGTGCTCTAATACCCAGCAATGCAGGCAGTTGCTGCTCAGACAGACAGATATCGGATCATTGCTTCCTAAAATCAGTGATTTCTGGCAGATAGGGTGAGAGAAGCCTATTTATCCATTGTTGGAGTAGTGGAGCAGCCTATACTTTACCCCTCATTTAGCTGTCATCTCTGACAAAGTTTTAAACAGCTAACTGAGCGCTAAACTTAGCATGGTCTGATGTGGAAATTATTACAAGTTCCATAATTGCTGTAGTTTACTACACTCTAGCATGCATATATTCAACAGCGTATTTTCAGCATGTAACCACAATCAGCTGAGAATCATATATGCTAAATGCATATTTTGATCATTCAGCTGTGAGTGCAGGGTTACAGATTTGTTTCATAGTTATGAGCAAGGCATCTATTCTTCTGAGTAACCAGATGAGAGTATTGCTATTCCACACATCGTTCTGAAATGTCTTATGTCAGCAGCTGGATGAATGACTGCCACTGAATGTCAGCTATTAGAACTGTAATTTATCCAGAAATATTAAACTGTAGAATATACACTATTTAGCCAGTAATTTGCTAAATCATAGAATCATAGAATGATTAAGGTTGGAAAAGACCTCTAAGATCAAGTCCAACCATCAACACAACACCACCATGCCTGCTAAACCACGTCCCAAAGTGCAATATCCACATGTTTTTTGAACACCTCCAGGGATGGTGACTCTACCACTTCCTTGGGCAGCCAATTCCAATGCCTGACCACTCTTTCAGCAAAGAAATTTTTCCTAATATCTAATCTAATCACATCTTGGATCAACAATGATAGAAAAAAAATGCTACATGTTGCTGTTAAATAAAACA